ATGTTCAGATTAGGCTAATCCATGAGGTACCTCAAACTCTTGTGATCCGTGAATATGGTACACCGAACCCCATAGAGGTAATGCCGCCAAATTTTGAGAGCGAACACCACAACCCCCAACTCCAGATCATTCTTCGGATAGTTAGCCTCGTGAGGCTTTAGCTGTCTCGAAGCATAAGCTATCACATGGCCTCGCTGCATCAACACTGATCCCATGCCTATGATCGAAGCATCACAGAAGACTACAAAATCATCTACTCATTTTGGCAGGGTGAGAATTGGTGCCTCACACAATCTTTGCCTGAGCATCTTAAAGGCTACTTGCTGCTCATGGTTCCAAAGAAAGACCACCGACTTCTTAGTCAGTCGGGTCAACGGGACTGCTATCTTAGAGAAGTCCTTGATGAATCTCCTGTAATACCTTGCCAGACCCACGAAACTCTGAATCTCAGATGAAGACCTTGGAGTCTCCCACTGCATCACAACCTCAATCTTGGCCGGATCTACTAAAATACCCTTCTGGTTAACGAGATGCCCAAGAAACTGCAACTCGTGCAACCAAAACTCGCACTTGGAGAACTTTACAAAAAGTCTCTCCCTCCTCAGTGTCTCTAGGACCTCTCTCAGGTGTTCCTCGTGCTGCTCCCGAGTCTTGGAATAAACCAAGATATCATCAATGAATACTATTATAGACCGATCCAACATCAGTCTGCATACACGGTTCATGAGATCCATGAACGCGGTTGGAGCATGGGTGAGCCCAAAAGGCATCACCTGAAACTCATAATGACCATAGCGAGTCCTGAAAGCAGTCTTTTGTACATCCTCATCTCTCACTCGCATCTGTTGATATCCAGACCGTAGATCGATCTTGGAAAACCAAGATGCCACCTGAAGCTTATCAAATAAATCATCTATCCTCGGGATCGTCGATCATAATGATGCCTAAATAAGGTGCAAGCCCTAAGGATTATGGTTTTCGCCAGCCTATCCGACTCGCCGAGTCAGGAATAATGACTCGTCGAGTCGCCTCACTATTTTCCACGTGCAAGCGTGAACCTACTCGACGAGTCAAAGATATGGACTCACCGAGTAGCCTTTCTAATGAAATAAAATAAAATAAAATAATTAGAATCACACACCAGGAATGGGGCGTTACATAGGAACTTAGATTAGACAAAGGAAAACCCAAACTCAAAACCTATCCATGAGACCCAATTATCCTTCCCTTGTTAATGGGCCCAAAATCCAAGTCCAAAATTATTAATGGGCCTCTTGGCTCAATAAGGCCCAACCAAAGTATCGATGGCCCAAAACAGATGAAATAACCCATAATTCACAGAATGCAACCAATCCAATAACCAAAATGAAGCCTAAAAGCTCAAAGGCCCAAAGCAGATCTGACCCAATCTGTAGCGCGTACGCTCGGCGTACCATTCTGGTACGCGCAACGTACTGGGGTCTTAAGGACTACACACAACGTACATTGAGTATGCCTAGCGTTCTTACAGATCAAGCACTTTCTCCATTAAGTGCTTAATACCCGATTCCTTTACGTCCAAAAGCCAGATCTGAGTTGTTTAATATGTCCTGAGGTATAAAGTTGCCAACTTTATGCCTTTGCATGCCTCACATACACCCAAAACCTTCATTAAGACCTTTCCAAGGTCTTTAAAACATGCATGAGACCAATACTTCCACCAAGGCTCCATTTTTATGCTTCAAAACGACCAAGGGATCTCAGATCTGCCATTCTCCTCTCATGGAGTTGCTTAACTCGCCAAAAGAGGTCCAAAATCCAACAAAGGGACAAAACTAGAAAACCCTAGCTAGATCAAAAGGTTTAAATGGAAAGGTGCAAGCTTTTTACCTCTAAAAGCCTTGCAAGATGACCCCAATGCAGATTCTTGAAGCACCAGACTGATCCAAGCTTGCTTAAAAACTATCCTTCTTGAAAGAACTCCAAAATGGCCACCAAAACGTTCTTCTTAGGCTCCAACTCTTACTCTCACACTAACTCAGCTGTAGGAAGATGAAATGGTGCTAAAGAGACTGATATAGTTTGGTCCAAGAGGCTAAGAGACATTCAAATAAGGGATAAGTCCGGGATTTAGGGCTTTGACCCTCCGATGTGTACGCCCGACGTACCCTCACGTACACCCAGCATACGTGAGGCTCCTCCGCGATCATTCATGCAGAGTACGCTAAGCGTACTCATAGGTATGCTCAGCGTACTCAAGGGACCAATTATGCAAAAACTCAAATTCTTGAGGGTTTCATGACGTACCAGGTTTAGGGTGTTACAACTCTCCCCCACTTGAACTAGACTTCATCCTCGAAGTCCATAGCTATAAACAGATCAGGATAATGCTCCCGCATCTCCTCCTCTAGCTCCCAAGTCCATTCGGAGCCCTTTCGGTGCTGCCCTTTTACCTTTATCAACTTCACTTCCTTGTTGTGAAGACCCTTTGTCTTCCTATCTATGATGGCGGCTGACTTCTCGAAATAATTCAGGTTCCCATCCACCTGAATGTCATCTAAGGAAAAAACTGCGGACTCGTCAGCAACACACTTCCGAAGTTGAGACACATGGAAGGTGTTGTGAATCTGACTAAGCTCCTCTAGACGCTCTAGATGATATGCCGCTTTGCGCACTCAGGCTATGATCCTGAACTGGCCTATGAACTGGGGCCCTAAATTGCCCTTCTTCAGAAACCTGATAATTCCTTTCCAAGGCGACACCTTCAGCAATACAAAATCCCCACCTGAAACTCAAGGTCCGAACGCCACCGTCAGCATAACTTTTCTAACGGCTCTGCGCGACTCGCAACCGGTCACGCACCTGCTGAATCAGTCCTGTGGTCTTGATCACGACCTTAGTGCTCCCCATAACCCGATGCCCAACCTCATCCCAATACACGGGGGTCCTGCACCTCCGTCCATATAACATCTCGAATGGAGCCCAATCGATACTGACATGATAACTGTTATTATACGAAAACTCTGCCAGTGGGAGGTACATATCCCAACTCCCTCCAAAGTCCAACATGCATGCTCGAACCATGTCCTCCAGTGTCTGGATCGTCCTCTCACTCTGACCGTTAGTCTGAGGGAGATACGCCGTACTAAAATGCAGATGAGTGCCCAATTCCTCGTGGAACTTCCTCCAAAACCTGGAAGTAAACCAGACATCCCTGTCGGAGACTACAGACACGGGCACCCCGTGTCTAGCCACCACCTCCTGAACATAAATATTTGCCAACTTCTCTGCGGATATAGTCTCGGAGATCGGAATAAAGTGGGCGCTCTTTGTTAGTATGTCTACGATCACCCATATAGCGTCCACTTCCCTCACTATTCTAGGCAACTTCGTAATGAAGTCCATGCCGATTTCCTCTCACTTCCACATTGGTTACAAAGACTAGTTCATGTTTTACTTTTGTTCTGGTTCAACATGAATCTTGGAATCAATCTGTAGAATCTCAACGATTAAAGGCATTCTCTATCTTTGGTTACTATGAATTGTTTTATTTTGTTGGATATGGTTGATCGTGTTTGTTTTCTTTTATTGCTAAAATTTTAAGTGGTAGATATCTCAGAAAATGGAAGTGCGTTTATGACCATTCAATTCTAAAGATTTGGTGGAAAGATTCTTTATCACGTTTCTAAAAAAGCCGCACATACTTCACTGTTTAAACTATTTTATTGTTTGACTAACTCTTTTGTTTGTATTCTTATATTAACATTTAAAAAAAAAGGAATCTGATGGTGGCAACTCTAAGCCTAATATGCAACTTTTGACACATCATTGTCATGAGAAGCATGCTGATGTATGTGACAAAATATCTCTAAGTCTCTCATCAGCGAGACCATCTGTTAAGAACATTGATTCACCCCTCACACTGACTGTCTAGCACTCTCTAAACTTTCTAAGTGAGATTTCCTGGTCCAAATAAAAAATTGGTAAAAAGGCTTGGGGTTTTATATTTATTTAACTATCTTACCTGACCCTGTCCCTAGAAGCATGCTTACCGTATGCATCAAGTCTCATGTTTTGCTGAAACATTGAGCAAAACCTAATGGCTTACCCTAATTGCATAGTCATCAGCATAAGAGTTACTTGTGTAGTCCTTTAATGACAAAGGGTTGTTCATGTCCCTGACCTCCTAGTCTGTGGTATAACATGGTACCAATATGAGTTAACGATGAATCTTTGAATCTAGAATGCAACTTGTTCTATGATACAGAAGTCAAAACCACTTCCTTTTGATGAGTTAAACTATTTATGATTCATGTTGATTTCACCTCAGCGTGACTGAAACAAACCACTATCTCCTTTATCTTCTTAATAAAACTTAATGATTCACTGTGTTATACCACACAATGATAAAATTTTGAAACTCTATGCCGATGGTTAATCTATATGCTGTAGAATATCACACACACCAAACGATTCTTGCCCTTATATTTTTCTTTAATGTTTTATGATTCAGCATAATGTACCATACGCTGATAACAGCTTGAAAAATCTATGTCGATGGTTAAGCTAAAACACCATAGCTTATCACAAGCATCATACCACTCTTTCCCTTTTCTTCTAATAAAAGTGATTAATGAGTCAACTTATGAAACCACATGTTGATTAGATCTCGCAACATTGTGTCGGTGAATGGTAGTTTAAACCCACACTGTCAGGAGACATCACAACCTTAACTTTTCAAGGTACTCGTTGATCCCTTACGTTGATGTTCATTATTGTTGATGACATATCACATGTTTTAACGGTATATTTTTGGATGAAGACTGAAAGATCCATCATTATCTTGGGATATGAGATTTTTACGATGGATATATCGTTATCATGATTAGGCAAAAGGGAAGAAACTTTTTGGGTATATATTAGGAATTATTCATCTTAGGTCACTTTTACAATCAATTCAAGCAATTAAGCTCTCTCTCTCAGAAAGACTCCAAATTGACATCTTCCTCAAAGCTTTCACCATGTCAAAGCCTCTATATGAGTTTGGTCCCAACACTAACATCATCACAGGTCCTCATACCCCTAACTCTATCATCATCATTCAATGGAACAATGTGGAATTCTCGGATGAAATCCTAAAGCAGTTTGCGAACTCAGGAATCGAAGATTTTGTCAACTATGTCAAGAGCGGTCCTCTTCAATATGCATTTTGTGACTTCCCTGATCCATTCTGCCATAAACAAGTATGAAAATTCTACTATTCATGCTCTATTTATACTGATGCTCGAACCATTAGAGATGGTCAATATAGGGTTACCATTGATGTACAATCCATTCAAACTGATTTTCGCCTTCATTGATTTGAAAGTTACTCTGAAACTCCCTCTGAAGAAAGTTGCAAGTCTGTTCGTGAAAAATTAAGGTTTAATTTCAAACTTGTGGGCCTCACTCGTGATCCATAAAAGAACACTCTTCGTCATTGTTTTAATGTTTGATGGAAGTATTTAACAGACGTGATTGGCAAATTTCTTGGACACAAGACTAGGAGTTTGGATCAACTAGATCTCTTTGAGCAAAGGATCTTATAGTCCATAGTTTACAACAAAAAACTGGATTTTGCTCAAATTTTTCTTGATCAAATGATTGACTACATTACTGGAAACAAGAAGCTAATGAATGTTCCTTATCCTTGTTGGCTTCGTTTGATCTTGTCTAGAGAAGTAGGCTCTGTTGAAAGTCATGGAATTATCATTCAAATACCTGCACTTTCCTCAAAGATCATCAATGTTGCTCCATCTGAAAGGGACATGCCTATTACTACAAGGATGTAAAAGTTGATTGAAAAACCCTATATGTTTATATCATCAGACTTTGAAGAAGATGATGATAATAATGATGATGATTCTCTTAATGAAGAAGAGAACAATGAGGATGAGGATGATAATGATAATGATGCTGATAATAAAGAAGGTGCTGATGAGGAAGAATACTCTAATAAAGAAGAATAATTAGTTGTTGATAAAGGAGAAGGTTTTGCTCAAGGAATGAACACTCAACCAATGATGAACAAGCACATTCGTTTTTCAACTACCTCTTTATCCTCTTCCTCTGTTGATGACTCTGTAAAACGTGGATCAACCCCTCCTTTTATGGAAACTGTTGAACCAATGATCCAAGAGGAAATCCCTCCAAAACCAACATCTCCTCCTCCTCCTCAAGCTAAGACAGTTCCCTCTAGGCCAACACCCATTAATACTTTTGCTTTTCATCAGGGTGATTAGGAAGCATTCAACTCCGACTTTCAAACCGTGGTGCTTTCCCAACTCTCTCTAATTGTGCAGATTACACAGTCAATGAAAAAAAGGTCGATTAAATTTGAAAGGGATGCGGCCATAATGAAGCGACTTATGGCTTTGGGTGATTATGATGATATGATTATTGATGTCATCTGTAACGACCCAATTTTCAAAAGAAAATTTTCATTTTTAAATGGTTAAAACATTTCCAATAAACCTTAAAATCTCAAGTACATTTGTTTTCAAATTCATAACATCAACAATATTATTTCAAACATCAGAGTGTCCCATAAAAACGTCTGAGAGAGAGTGCATGCCGCATCATCAAGCCTTGCCCTTGCCCTTAGGCTCAGATGTACCTGAAACAAATCCAAAAATTGTAATCTAATGTTTAATGAGTTCCCCAGATCATACCCCACACAATCCGCATAATCACATAATCATATTAGCTATAAAAGCTACATAAACAACATAATCCATGCATACAACATATAGGGATGCCGTGGGCTCGTCCCTAGGGTCTTACTCCAGGATGGCATGGGTTCCCCACATGGTTTTACACCTAAGTGCCATGGGCTCTCCACATGGTCTTACATTCGGGTTCCATGGGCTCTCCTATGGTCTTTAATAGGAATGCCATGGGCTCTCTACATGGTCTTACATCCAGGTTCCATGGGCTCTTCTATGGTCTTCCATACCAGCATATCGTATATACAACTAGCATACTTCCTAGCACATAACCAATTATCATGCCACATAATACCACTTCAGCTAGTGTACCATATATCATAAAATGGGCCGACCTTGGTACCTTCGACCCATTGGTATGGTGAGGAGACTCATCTCTCGTAAATACTGAACCGACAAGATAAGATCATATAAGTCCCAATGCACAACTCCAACTCAATTGCCTATCATCATCATGTGATTAACTTGCCACAATCCTAAAATATGATAAATACCCTTAAAGTCAAACTTGGTCAACCGTGGTCAAAGTCCAAGTCAACAGTCAAGGTCAATAGTCCATGTTTACCCCAACTCGTCGAGTGCATCTAGCAACTCGTCGAGTTCCTTTAGATTCCAAAAACTGAAATCCCGTGTCAACTCGACGAGTTACCCGAGTAACTCGTCGAGTTCTTTAGTGTCAAAGGGCCGAAAACTCTAAACCGAAATATCTTGACCAAAACCCCTACACGACTCGTCGAGTGCCATTAGTTCTTTTTGTGTTCAGGCCTTTCCAGTGGAGTCCAAGTCTCCAAGTTATAGATCCAACCCCTTATGGTATAGTTACCACATAAAGTTGCAAACTTTACTTGCATGTAAGGCCTCCCAAGGATAAAACACTAAAACTAGGGTTCATACAACACCTAGGACATTAAAAAGGGCTAAGACTAGGTAAAGGAATAAACTTTATGTTATGAAAGACCTAGAGGCGTCCAGATATGGAACCATATCCTCATGACAAGACCAAATCTGAGTATGACACCATTTTTGCACCAAAAGTGACCATATTCTTCCATAATATGAGATCTAAGCAACTAGAGATCAAGGTATCAACTTTTTACCTCAAAATAGATGCTAACAATAAGTAGATGCTGGATCTAAAGCCCTCTCCTCACTTCAATCTCTTCAACCTTCAAGTTTCCTTCTAAAAAGCACAAGCTTCACTCTCCAAGGCTCATACACACTCAAGAAACCACCAAACTGCGGATAGGGTTTCTCTCTGGATAGATAGGACGATGAGGAAGGCCAAAAATGATCCATAAGTTCCTTAATTATGGTACAAATCCATGAAAATTAGGTTTTTCCTTTATAGTTCCTACTCGTCGAGTCGAGGCCTTCCGACTCGTCGAGTAGGTTCTAAGTCCTGCGTCCTCATAAATGATCTTTACTCGACGAGTTGTAGCTCCCTAACTCATCGAGTTCCAATCTAAAACCCTAAATTACTTAGAGACTAAATGATACTTGGAACAGTCGTTACACACTCCACTAAATTTTCCAGGTGATAATCATAATCCACCTCCATGTCCATCAACAAATCTTCCTCCACCATTTCACTCTCCTCCCTGCATTTGTCTACCTCCTTCTAACTCTCCTCCCCAATCTGATGCTGCCAAAAAGGAGGAGAATAATCAAAAGGGTCCTCATCCAATACAACTGTAGGTGATGATTGTACCAACTTAATCTTAGCCTGAGATGACTAGAAGGGTTGAAGCTGAAGTTGATCCTCAAAAGCAGATTGTTGATGCTGATATTCTAGATGTTGATGCTACAATGGATCAACCCATTCCTGACACTGGTGATCATTTAGAGACCCATGACTATGAAGGGTTACTTGATCTTGGTTTCATGCAACAAGCTGTTGTTCTTGCTGTTCCCTTAAATGTTGTCTACGCTGGATATTACTTCGAGGTGGAAATTTCTCAAGAGGTTCCTCAAGGAACTGATAGTAACATTGACTCTAACATTGATTAGCTCAATCCTCGAAAGAGGAAGGCTTCCTTCTCAGGGGGAGCTCATGATGCTGAAGCTAGAAAAGCAAACTCATCTTTGATCTTAATAAATTAGCTTCTCCTCCTAAAAATAAAAGCAAACTCATCTTTGATCTAAATAAATTAGCAGAAACATGGAGGTTACCCATTGAGGAAGTTAGAAAAATCATGCTAGAATATAATGTTGTTGTTCTTCAAAAGAAAGAAGCAAGAAAAGAATAACGTCTGTCTGCAAAACTTGCTCAAGCTCTTGCTTCTGCTGATGACAATGCTAATTTTCAAAGCACTGAAAATCAGGTCTAGAAAATCTTTAATAATAATGTGAAGAAACAACACATATTTTCAAACCTGAATGACCGAATATATAGGAAGAAGCTTGGATATGTTTTTACTCGCATGTCAAATCTTGATCCTATTATCAAAGTAAGATGCACCAAACTGATGAATGAGTCATTGAAGCTTCACTTGGTTAGAAAGAAAACATAATATGAATACATTGATGTTGTATTTTCTCATGAGCTATTCAAATTTGGCTACATCGAGTGGATTCAAATTCAAGAAATTATCGACAAACAAAAAGGTATTCATTCTCAGGGAGTAAAGTTGGCAATTCAGCAGCTACTCAACAAAGTCAAGAAGTTGAACCTTGTGCCCTCAGCTGGTCCATCTAGACCATCATCCTCAGGAAGAACAAGCGCTCCCCGACAGTCCAATAATACCAAGTTTCTTATTCCTTATGGAACTTGGTATATTAATAATGAATTACCAGTGGGTGTTGAACCAGTCCAATACCTGCTTATTTCAGAAACCGGAGCATATGATATTTTATCTTGACAGTCAGAATCAAATGTGCTTTCGACGCAACGATGACCTTCCTTCTGCTCCCACTTAACATTTATTTCAGCTCTTCTTGGTAGGACTTGGTCATTTTGAACTACAACGAAGATATCGTGTGGTGAGATCTCTAGAGCTTAGCAGAAGATTGGATGAATTTAAGACTTGTCAATTAAGAAGAGTAAAGCCTAAGATCTTGAAAGAATCTGACAAGTTTTACAATGACTCTTTTGATGACTTTGAAAAAGATTAGATTTGACATCATCATATATGGGAGATTGTAAGGTCACACATTATGATCTGATGAGTCAAACATCACACACGCTGTTTGTCAGCTTTCGCGTGTACTTTACAACCAGTGCTAGCGTATAAAACTTATTAGCGTCAACACATATCGTAGTTATTCTATGTAATCTTTTGTATATTAGGTAATAATACACATACATATAGAATAGATCACAAATTCGCTATCTTTGTGATAATATCAGTTCTTAGTATAGATTAGACGGAATCCCTTCAATCAAGGGATATAATTGTATAGATTAGTATAGATACAACATTAAGGTAAACCCTATTTTGTGAACACTGCTTGGTGTCCTAATTATCTTTGTGACTACCCGTTTTCTTGGTGAAGACAAAACCCTTTCTTGGAGAAAGACAATTTGGAGAACTCCATGTGTTATTTACTTTCTGTTCTTTATTTTTCTTAGATTAATTTACGTTTGTTCTTAATACTTCAAGTGTATCTGATCGATACAAACGTTTACTATATATATATATATATATATATATATATATATATATATATATATATTATCTAATAATTCATTTTGTTTTGTTGCTATATATATATATATATATATATATATATATATATATATATATATATATATAAATATATATATAATTTTTTTTTATAAATTCTACAATAATTTCTCTTTTATTTCATCTTGTTATATATATATATATATATATATATATATATATATATATATATATATATATATATATATATATATATATATATATATATATATATATATATATATATATATATATATAACAAGATGAAATAAAAAGAGAAATTATTGTAGAAATTTATAAAAAAAATTATATATATATTTTTTTAGCAACAAAACAAAATGAATTATTAGATAATTCAAAAGTAAGATAATTAGCAAGAAAGAAATTAAAAAAAACATTTTTATGATTAGTTTTTAAGTATATCAAGAAAAACTCACATGACAATTTTATTAACATTAAAATCATTGTAAAGTTAAATCATCCATATATTTTTTTAGGAATTTTTTTATGAATCATGTTATTATTGATTCATTTAATGATTCATTTATTTTGTTCATAAAAAAATGCAAAAAAAAAAAAAAAAAATCTTACCTTTCCACAATATATATATATATATACACACACACACACACTTAGTGATCACAAATCCTTTTTTTTACTACATATTCTTAAAAATCGCAACTTTTTATATAATTTTGCTGAAATGTTTTTTAAAAAAAATACCAAAAATATAATAATAATAATAATAATAATAATAATAATAATAATAATAATAACAACAACAACAACAACAAGTGTTAATCTTTACCAAATCAAAACATAAGAAAGAATGCGAACAAGGTACCCTGCCCCACAAAATCTCGCTAACAGAACACACTCAAAATATATAATGTTCTATGATATGGTTTTAATCACAGTTAGCAAGTCGAATGGTACGATTGCACCCTCAGCTTCCGACCTTAGTAAGTAATCTTTCTTTTGTTAGTTTGATTGTGTTGGATTGTTTAATTGTTGTATTTGGTAACAGTAAAGTTCTCACGATTTTGGCAAAAATGGTCTCTTGTTTATGTATATATGTTAAAAAAAAGTTCATTTTCTTTTTTTTTTTTTTTTTTTTTGCTAGACACGTGTTGTTTGTGCATTTGGTTCATCGTTTTCTCAGCCAATGATATTTTGATTGTTGTAATTGTTGTTTACACCACCTCTTCTCTCATCAGTATAATCCTGTTTCACCGCTTTTTGACTCAATCGATTTTTGTAATTCTTCTTTCCTTTACTCCTTTTCACAGAATCCTTCCACTTTCATGTTCTTGTGACGGTCTTAACAAATTCAAACCCCATCGATTAATGAAGAGCTCAAGGATTGTTTCCAAAATTGAGCGACGATTTCTTATCGCCTGGTACAACCAAACGACTACAAGGAACAACATGGTCCACCAGACAACATACATACGTTTCTTTATGTGTGTGTGCTGAATCGATGGCAATAGTAGAAGGGACGAGGATCGTCTCTTCCATTTAGTTTTTTACTGTGCCGTGTTTTGGGTCTTTTTAGGTCTTCCCTTACCAATTTCCGTCTACTGCCGCCGTTGATTACTGATTTGGGTATGTGTTTGCGACTTACGACTTCACTCTCTCCGATTTGTGCTTGATTTTGGACCAAATGATTACAAAGATGTGATTTTTGTTTGCCAGAATCTTTCACACCAGATTATTTGTTTGTTTTTTTTTCCTGTTATAATACATGATGAAACCTACAACAACTAATGTCCGGTGCTTTTTGGTCGACGTGTCTTCGCTGTTTGGGTTTACTGTCAAATCCACTGTTTTTGCATTAATATAATAAGTTGTATATCAATTATGAAGTTACTTTGATTTTGAATCTAAATTCATAACATTGATATAAAACCCAATTAGGGGAATATTTTTATGGCAATTCATAAAATTCCTTATCAACTCACAGTTGAAAACTTTGTCCTCAGATGAACCACAATATTTAAAAACAGTAAAGTTTTTTTTTTTTTTTTTTCATTTTTTATTAATAATTTTTTTATTACTATAGTAGGATATTAAATAAAAAATATGAATTAATTTTATTGGCATGTATTAAATATAAGGCCGTAAATATATAAAGTGTATTGGGCCTACAAAATATCAAGACCGGGGCCAATTGAAACTTCAGATCTGAAAAATTTATCCTCATATGGGCTATATGAGCAAGGATGTCCAGCTTATATATATGAGCAAGGATGGATTAAGATCTCGTAAGATTAGTTTGTCAAGTTGGCCATATAGTTCAATCCAATAGGCCAACATAAAAATAAAATTGATTTTTTTGAATGGTTAATAATTAGAAGTTAGTATTATCAAGTTAATAAATTCATTCCTAATTAAAACAATGAATCTTTATTTTAAGAGATAAAACTTCTACTAAGTGAGCTAGTTCCACATTGATAATAATAATAATAATAATAATAATAATAATAATAATAATAATAATAATAAACAAAATGGTTTTGATTTTTACCCTTTTGTAATCAATTTCACGTCTTTTAGAATTTTGTCTAATTTCACCATTTTATTAGCAAATGTTGAACGAATTAAACTCAATACATATTTCTTTATTTATATAAATGTATATCGCTTTCTTCAACATACATCATAATATATGAATAGTATATTTGCTATTAATGTAAATTTAATTTTCTATATATATGATTACTGATCATTCAAATCACCCGGTTATATGAATTTGAATGTTTTAACTTTATGGACGAGATTACACAGTTGGATCGGCTTGATCTTAAACTTTGGTCAATGTGGAGGAAAGTGCGATGTGGAATACATTTAAAACCCATTAAGGTGAATATTTTATGTTGGAGAATTAGTTGGTTTATCTGGCAACTAGATTTACTTCGAACAAAAGTGAAGTGGACGAGATTAATTCTTTTCTTTGTCCGGTTTGTATGTGGTGATGGCTAATCACTTAATTATTTTTAATAGATTGCAATGATGTTGATTGCCTTACCATTCAATTGCACACAAACACATATCCATCATACGGATACAATTTGGGGCTATACTATACAACAATGGTTTAATATCTAAACGGGCTAATAACTAATGCAAACTAATATGCCTCTGTTGCAAAAGTAAATATGAGTTGGTCCGACTAGATTACTGTCTGCAATCGAGCTCTGACACACAAGAAATGTCAGCCGTTCTCCGGGAGGTGATCCCGAAAGGACACTCCGACGGTGAAGTTAGTATCTTCAGAGAGGTGAGGAGTAGTGATAATATTAGCTTAAGGGAACTTTCTGTTGAGGGTGTGGTTGTTGGCTTTATATAGTAAGACCCGAGAAGTGGCTCCGCTTTTAGGAGACAAGAGTGTTAGTCGTGATACATGACAGTGACACTCATTGGAGGAGATATCATTTGCTCCTTGCCGTGGGCTGTTATTGGTTTAGAGAGCATGTTGGTAGTGGTGCGTACGTCACTAAGGTTGTCAGCTATTACAGTTTTGTTGGTAGGCGATTTTCCTGTGGTTGGCCGACCAATGGAGGGTGCTGGAAAGGTACTCCCATGGGCGTTGCTTTCCAGGCTGGCACCAAATCGCTCCCTCTCAGTCTCCATCTTAAGTCCCAAGGCGTTGCCACTTGGCGTGACCCTATGGGACGCTTTCAAGTCTCCATAGTCTTATCCATTATGATTAAACCTACTTAGTCATGATGGGTGGACTAGTTAGCACAGTCGTCACCAAGAGGTTAAATATTCATCTGAAGGTTTTCTTAGACATGAACACCTTTTAGGGTGATGTCAGTTATAATTATCACTTTAGGGTTTTCCCGCCTATTTGTTAGATCCTACATATCTGGCTGTCTCTCTTTCCTTATTACCTTTTCGTTCTTCCTGGTTCTTTGTATGTTCATCAGTTATCCACTATTTCGTGCTTATAACCTTCCATGGAGTCTCCAGCTGGAATTTTACTTACGACCAAACAATGAGGGTTTTCAAAAGCATTATGGGTTTCAACTTGATGATGTAATTTTGATCATGGTAGAAAGCTCTATCATCATTACTCCTTCTCTTAGGAAGGTCGGAATTTATATCAAGCATTTTGATGCTGGTTACCATCTTCCCTCTTTTGGCTTTCTGCTAGAATTTTTGGATCATTACAAGGTCCATATTAATGAACT